AAAATACAATATAGTTTATATGTATTACATAAATATCTACGGAGTATCTATGGCGAGATATTTTATATTCTCGAGGATTACGGCTTTAGTTCGGATCGAAGCCAATTTCTGTAACCATGACGGATCGATCCCCGCAGCCTACCGTTACTTTTGAAGCTCATTTTGAAAATCGTAATAAAAACTTGTGATCATATAGAGCTGAATCGACAGCAATGAGTTTCTATTGAAGTGACTTCAACAAGCAAAAATGGAACACAAATAAACACACAAACAAAATATGACAAAAATGAAAAGTAGTAATGAGTAAACGTGAAACAAACCGAATTTGGTTTACCTCTTGCAACTGATTATAGCTGTCAAGAATATGCTTTTATTTTCATGCACATTGTGAAAAATTATTTACTTATCATTACTAAAGCTTTTTGATGTTGAATTGAAACTGAACAGTAACTTTCCTGGGATAATTTATTGTTTTCCTTAGCTGTTAGGAGACAGTTGACATGCAATCAAAACAGGCATCCAATTTGATTCAAACGAGCTAATAATTAAAAACGCCTATTAGAGCGTGACATTCCGGGCAATAGTGTTCTACATCGCGAACAATTGAAATTTGAAATAAAAATTGCAATTATATTCAATATTCGATATTATACCATCTATTAAACATACCACAGTGAAAAGCATTGCAATAAGATGGGTCGTAGTCGTAGTACGACCATTGTGAACTTGTTACCACAAGTTCACATCGTGGGCACCTTAGCTCTATGGGATGCGATGCTATTGCAGACTTCCCTACCAGCTCCGAACGCTAAAAGATTTGTTATGTAACTGTGAATAAAAATTAACTAACCTATATACAACTTTAGTTAAGCTCATTAATATTCATTCTCGTCCTTATATTAAAAACTCTAGGTCCGTTATTTTCACGCAAAATTGTAATGCAACGCTATATGACTTTTGCAGCTTTATATATAAATACGGATACAAGTACGAATATAAGTAAGTTACTCTCCTAAGTAAATACACCTCGTGATGAAAGGTCTAGATATCAATGAATTGGTGCGGCAGCCAAAAGCTATAAAAGCAGGGCGCAAGCAGAAATCTTTGTTTTAGTTGTTCAGCAGCAGGTGAACGAACAGATAAACCAAAGTAGTATTGGTTGTCGCCTTGTCCGTCCTGAACGAAGTCCGTAAGATAAAAGTGTGCGCTTGCATCATCACCTTATAGTTCTTCGGCCCGAAAGCATACCCTAGCTTGGTAGCTAACCGGTGGAGTTAGGTACTGTTCGTCCGGAACGAGGTCCTTAAGTAGCAGTGTGCGCTTGCATCATTATCTTATAGACTCTCGGCCCGAAAGGATGCCTTAGCTTTGTAGATGACCAGTGATTAGCAATTAGGTATTGCCCGTCTGGAACGGAGTTCTTAAACTAACAATTTGCGCTTGCATCATTATTTTATAGACTCCCGGGCCGCAAGGATACCCCGGCTTGCAGCACCTAGTAGTTCATTTTCGCAATACAGTCGCACGCCGACCATATTTCCTCGGTAAAAAGAAAACAAGCCTGCCCACTAAGTACGTGTTGGTTTTTTCTTTCACCACGAAGTTACATCGCAAATAAGGCCATGTTGTACGCTTCTTAAATTCCATAAATATATATTTGATCGAACACCAAAATACGAAGGTTCCGTTAATTCAACGAATAAATTTCTTGGAATGGACCGCTGGACAGCCCTGAGCGAAACCGCAGCTATGAATAACCCCCGTTATAAAACTTATAAACGATTCCATATATTTTCTACTTACTATTCATCATTCTTTTTACTATTCATCATTCATCCATCAAGAATATCCTTCTTTATTTTTGGCTTAAGCTAAACCGTATGAAATTTCTCTAACCAAGTGCTATCGCTCAATAGATATGAAAAAATATCTTTTATCTTTTGAAGTCTGCATCCCTCCTAATAAATAAGAAAAAAGTGACTTATGCCAATTTTTAATATCCATTTTTTTGGCACCCAGAGTCAATCAAGTAAATAATGGAAATTATTATTGCTCATTTCATTCTATTGCTACCACTTTTGAGGTAAATGCGATAGCAACGAAAATGAAGATTTTCGTGAAATTTCGTAACCGTTTACACAGACAGCCAACGAGACAACCATGAGAACCAATGAATTTTTTACAAAAAATATATCAGAATTTTTCATAGTAATTTCTCCTTCTGATTATTTACTAATAAATGTGATGCAAAGACGCATTGAGTTGGGGCTGTAATTTGCTTTGCCTGGCTAGTCCAGTTGCGTTAACAAAAAAAACTGCAATTACTTCAATTTTATTTATTTCAGAATAGGCATTTTTTGAAATAGGTTTTTCTTATATTTAAACAAGTTCTACGTTATTCATTCTTAGGGTAATCGTTTTTCAACAATAATTCATCTTTCACTTATATAGTTTTGACTTTTCTTTTCTCCCACTGATCGTTTTAATTGCCAAAAGAAAAGCCTCTTTCTTGTTTTTGATTCATTGACGGCTCAATACCAAACGACTTCATCTGCTTTTTCTTCGTCAGTCTTTTTCTCAGTCATTTTACATATCGACTTCGGACTTTTGATAACTTCTCTCTTTGAATTGCGCCATTGTATGAGCGGAGAGTTATGAAAAGAGACATTAATTAACGGAATTCCGTTATAATATTGCACACTACTCTCTTGCAAGGAGCAGAGGAAAAGCCGACCGGCCGAAACTCCCAACTTGTGCATATGCGAACGTTACAAGTCTAAAAGTATCCCTGCCGGAAATTTTGTGTTTTCGTTTATTTTGCAGGGGTTAACTTGCCGGTTTAGTCCAGAGGATTGCGTTCATCTAATAATAAAACTTAGTTTGGCTTTCTAAACATAATCGTTTCCTACGCTATGTGTTCATAGCGGACAAATAAGAGGCAACATTTATTTGTTCCCAATTCCAACAATGGCAGAAATATTTCAGTATATTTAACTTCAGATTGAATACTATTATACAAAAGGAAATTTTTATGAACTATTTATCCAGACTCACTTAACTTACTCCTAAGTTTGGTATGACCCCGGCAATCCCTAGAATATATATATATATTTTTTAATATGATCAATCGCTCAGCAGATGTCACCTATGCATGCAACATGGTCAGAAAGAACTGAGCAATCATTAAGTGTTATGCGTTTACCTGGACACTCACTATAGGTACGATCGAAGAAATTCGAGGAATACGGCTTTTAAACGTGAACCCACGAACGCCGACTTGGTAATCGCGGCTCTTAGCTACTCATGTCGAATATTATGGACAACCAATTATCCTAATTCAGTTAAAATCAGACCGTTCGTCTCTACAGTCTATTGTCGTGGCTTAATCCTTTTGCTGATTAAAATGCTAACCTATACGGCCCCAGGTCACAAATCTATTGGATTATATCAAACCCTTGTGATTCCCTCAAAACCACTCTGTCAGGGTCGGCGTGGCCGATCGAACTGCAATCACATTCGAAATCAGCTGGTGCATCTTTGAATATGAATACTCACCTGATTTTGGGCCATTTTACGCTCTATAAGCTGGTTTATATAGGGATAACTCTAAATTTACAAAAAAAAAGTAATCCAATTACGATGTAATGATATTATAATCCGCAAAGAAATAAGAACTGTAGCGACACTGTACATTTCCATACAAATTATTTTGTTATAATATCCAAGTATTTACAGTTTTTAGTTTTAAGACTTTTTATTTCAAAATTATTATTCTATCAAAAAATTTTCATCAATATTGTCAGAAACATTTGCGTTAAATTAAACAAAGTCCAAAGAAGAAATCACACCAAAAATGTTTTTAAATCGATAGATTAAATAGTCTACATCAACTACACAATAACATATCCTAAGTGTGGGAGCAGTACGATATAGTATACCTTGGTCCTTATAGTATGTAAATACATAGATCCTCTCCATAAACAGACACCTATTTACCAAAGATGTGGTTAGTAAGAAATATTTCACAAACTCTCATATATTGAGTAAACAATAACAATACAATTACATACCGATTACTTTTCAGGTAATGGTTAAAACCTTTTCTGCTTATATATTTCGAATGGAATGCGAATACAGTTTATATGATTAATATATTTCTTAAAAATTGCTTTTTTGCATTAGATAAATCTGTGGGCTAACAAGCCGACGCAATTTAGCATTGAATAGCTCGAAGAAAAATTTAGAGGCTTGAAATAAATTTGCTTAAGTGCATTCAGATAAGTGTCGACGAAAAAAGTGCACTTTCCGCATTTTTTCCTTTGTTTTCTTTTCACCAAAGAACTTATTTCTTTAGTCTAAAAAAATTATTATAATAAGAAATAAAAGAAGTAGGTCGCTGTCCACCACTAAATATCCTACATCACCTTACGGTTATTCATATTACGACAATATAATGAAAACATATCCCAGCGATGTCGGAGAGGTTTATTGAAAGTGTGGCTGAGACATAAGTCGCCGCACCCAACCTATACCTAATATCAGTTGTTACAAGCACTTCGCAGTTAGAGCACATTTTCTTTATAGGCCTTCTATTCATCATGTCTTGTAGTATATAACGAGTCGAATAAGCCACACACTTGTATGGACTACTGCAGGCAAGAATGACGACAAGAAGGTAATGAGGGAAAAGGAAGGAAAATATCCAATAATTCTTTTTTAATTTTTTAAATCTTTCATCCTGCACTGTCAAAGGAAACAAAAATCAGAATTATGTTTATAAGATAAGATGTGCAGGCATGTCAGTAGTAAATGAGTATATGAAGTGCTCAAAACTATATGGGAGTTACCCTTAGAATAAAAAAGTTGAAACATTCATTGGTTGATAATTGACAAGTTCCAAATCTAAAATCTTGGATTTGATTTTTGTGGTTGTATTGAAATAAATTTTTTTAAATTTCCTTAGCATTTGAATTCCTGAAGATACCTGAATATACCTCAACATGTCAACTTTACCTTTGGGCGACGAGCCAACAAACATTGTATGCCCGCGGTGCGGGCAGTCCGTATTGACGAAATTGAACTATAAAGCAACTACCCGGACCCATATAATAGCTTTGATTTTATGTCTGATGGGGTGAGACGCATTATCAATAATTAAGATTTTTGTCAATAATTCTATATTTTTTTTTTGCTTTCTTTTCAGATGTTGGTTTTGTGCTCCTGTGTTATACTGCACTAGATGTGCGCGAAATATTGAACATTATTGTCCGAATTGTAACGCATTCCTTGGAATTTACGACCATTAGACTATTGTTTCCCTTATTTCATCTCTTAACTACATTTGCCTTATATTAAGTTTGTGTCAATGTAATGCAAAAAACCTCTTTAACCAATCACTTATAAACTTGCAAAAATTTTCCTCAGAGTAAATCATTTCCAGTGGTGTCGGACATATGAACTATCATCCTCTCTCAACAAGACGTTGTTAAGTTTGGAATCTGGCTGAAATAAAATTAAAAACGTGAAGTGAACATTCTTCTTGCTTTCTTTGCGACGAAAAAACATAAAAAAAGTTCATAATTATATTATATATAAATAGCCGAACCTTCTTTTGTTGAAGAAAATAAAATTTCGATATTATATAGTATTAGATGGGTTCGGAAAATTTTCATATTTTGCAGAGAATGTATAAATTTTTATTATTGTGAGTCTATGAGTAATGACTTAACACACCATTTTTAAATTTTTTCAAGCTTTGAAAACCGAGGAGTTGTTCGCTTATACACTACTGTGGCAGTGTTCCTTAACCAATTAGGCCCTTTTAAAAACCAACTGATATCGGCATATTTGGGATCAGAAGATTGTTTTCCACATGCGTTGCATAGATGAACCGAAAGACATGCTGAAATCGATTTAGTAAATGAAACTGACGCAGGATTTGTATACTTTATAGAATCTCTGAAGCTTCCTTCTGAGTATCGCAAAGATTTTAAGAACATGAATATGCCCCCGCCTTTCAGTGTTGATTGTGTTATAAGAAATACTCTGTTTAAACTTCTCAATACTTGAACATGTATTTGTATAATCTGTGCGCGCTTTACAACTGGATAATTCAATTTCATTAAAAGTATCTTCGATAAGTTTATTAGACTTTTTGTGTCAACATCACTAAGTTCTCCATTTTCGACAAGAAATTTGCAATTTTCCTCCGTGGATTGTTTTTCATCCCTCATTATTGTGTTCTCCACATCAGTTTCCTGCTTTTTCTTTCTTCTTAGTATTTAATTTTATACGTAAATTTGGAATTTTTCGATCACATTCTTGTGAATCATCTTGCTCATCTAAAGTATTTGACCTTTTATTTACAACAATACTGTTGTTGCTATTTGTGTCTTCATCTATTATACTTATGCTTGTGCAAAGGTTGTGCCACCCATCTACTCTTTATTGACCAGCAACCTAATTGCCCCTTATGTCGCGCTGGTATTACTGATTCTATATCAGTGTATATGTGATATTGACTTAAAGTTTTGCAGAGACCTTAAATCTAATTATTAGAGAAAATAATTTTAAATATGAAAAATAAGTTAATCGCTTTGGCCGGTGAATGGATCATGAGTTTTTATAATCTAAGTGACTTGTACAACGCGGACATTACTGTACATATTCAAACAGAAAATTAGATGGCCACTTGCTTATTAAATTTATCCGTTTTTATTGTGGGCACATATTAAAAGCAATAAGTAGAAGGATACGTAGCAAGAAAATATCTGCGGTTCCACAATTAATGCCTTCATCTACGCATTTACTTCGTACTCTAATAGTCTTTATTAATCAAGGCAGAACGAAAGACAAACAAATATACATATCAAATAGTTCAAGTTTTTAAAAAAATAACAAGCCAAGTCCTAGCCAACTTAGCCTTATCTTTATGTTTTAAAAGTACCTTAAAAAAGAATGTGACTGAACGATAAGCATAATAGCGACATCATCGACATTTTGATAACATCAGCGTTTCCGCTTAACGTATACGGAGGCAATTATTTAATTTAAAATTTTTATTAAACTGTAATTAAGAAGCGCCCACCGATTCTTACATTTTACTATTACTTCCTAAATAACTCCCGCAAATGGAGCAATAGTGCCGAGTGATTTTGCAAGTTTTAGAACAATATGGTATACAGCAACAACAACTGAAATGATAGAATTTCTTTAGCTTGCTTTTGGTGAATAAATCGCAAACTAACGTTGTTAGACATAATACAACAGCAATGATGTGGGTCATTAAACCATTTTCATATTCCAAACGTGTCCAATATCTGCCACCGCATGTATGACATTTTGCCAAAAGCGAACGACTACCATAAATTATAGTCGTCGTTGATGTGTCTAAACAAGAAGTATAAGAAAGAATTGTTGTTTCGTCAAATGGCACGAAAGTATAAAATGGTTTCTTCACTTATGATATATCACTTGAGTAATTGTTAGACGGCTGTACAGAATAGATGGAACTGTCTGTATAAGCATCAAAATTAGATCTCTCAGCGCTATAAGGAGGCGGCATATGCTGCGTTGCGGAAACTGGCGGTACTTCTTCGGAAAAATTGCTCTCCATTATATTTATGATCTCCTGCTTTGTAGGCATTGTTATTGTACTAATTGAAAACTTTATATTGTTATGTTGAACACGCGTAAAGATTTCAATGCAAGTGCGTTGCTGTTAATAAATAATAATTAACTCAATGAATATTTGAAATAGTTACAATATTCATGATTTCATTGCTTGCGGTTTCAAATCATTTCTAATTGTATACCAAATGAATGAGTAAGACAAATGGAAGAAATATCCGTCTTGGACCTGATCTTAGATACCAACCGGCTTAGGTAATCCCTTCCTTCGCCTTGGGGAGAAAGCTCTCAGAAAAACTAATGCCATCTTAATTTATATTGGTGCAACTCTACTGGATCATTGAAGTTTTTGTTATAGAAGACTTTTTTCGTATCACGAAATTTCTTATGCTAATTTTAGAATATCGAATTACTATTACTCAACAATTTTTTCATATAACAACTTTTCAAGATAAGGCGACATATGGCAAATGGTCGCAAAAGTGGATCGATCCGACCCATTTTCAATAGCGTTTGCCCTTAAAAAATTGCGAGTTGTAGGTCCAACATAAAAACCCATGGACAGACCGACGGACGGAGCAAAAGATCGGTGTATTGAAAGGTGCATCTATCCTCCAAATCTCTCCAAATGTTACACAGGTCCACACAAACAAATTTATCTTATATATATTTAGCCAAAATTTAGAAGTACAAATACAGTGTTAAGGCTATTAATTAGCGGCCATTTGACTGATTGCTCTTTCATTTCAAAATTTCAATGAAAGTTTTCTATGAAGCAATACGAAAAAGTCTGTTTTAACTTCAAAAATGCACTCTTTTTATGTCTAAGGGTTACCACCTTTAGCCTGGGGATTTTCGATTCTGGGTAGATTTAGACATTTTAGGACTTTTATAATACCAACCAAAGGTTGAGAATAGCATGCGCTCTTCATTCCGGGGCGGCTTTAATAATAGATAAATATTTATAAATGTTCAATGCATTTATGCTGAAAAATGAAATTTAACCGCACGCTTACTAATTAATATAAAAAACACTGTGATTCTGCAAGACCTGCTCAAGCATTCAACCGAGTTTGTCGCTCTGTTGCGAAGCAACAAATAAAATCAATTTCGGACTACATTTAAGATACTTACTACGTGGGCGATTAAATATGCCTTTAGAAGAGAGGAGAAGAGGAGGAACGAGAGGTGCACGAACAAATAGCGGCGTTATTGTTGGTGGATCCATGGAGGATGTTTCCCCGCCTAGTTATGCCCAAGTTGTGCGAAATAACCGAATAAACACTGGTTCGAACAGAAATGATTGGACCAACGTCGAATTCCTTTCAGGAGGCACGCTAATGACGGATAATCTTGTAACTCAATCATCGGTTATAGTATCTTGTAAGTAAAATGCATAAAGGGACTTAAGTCTTTACAAATTCATTTTGTTCTCGACTTAGCGCCAAAAGTTCCACCGCTTGGACCCGAACCTGTATTTTTCACATGTTCCAGATGCCGAGCCAGGAAGTTAACGCGCATACACTATGAACCGAACTTAAAAACTCATCTAATGGCCGCTCTCCTCTGCACTTTAGGGTATGAATTGTTTAATCGATGTGTTAAATCCTCTCATAGTAAAGACGAAAGACTACTTTTGCCTTTCTAGTAATTTTTTCATCTTGCACCGACAAATTGAACGTACATTCATTTTTTTAAAACGTCAGCAATACCTAGAAGAAACTTTCAAAGATCCCTTACAGTATATAAGTTCTTGATTCGAACCGCTTTCTGGAGCGATCCAGGCATGTTTCTTTATTCGTCTGTCAGTTTGTTTGTTGTTAATACTCTTCCAGTAAAGACGTTGAAAGGTCTTGCACGCAAGTGGCTATTGATAAGGACCCAAATCGGTCGAAGGGCACGCATTTAGTAAAACATAATATAAAATAAAAATACTTGTACTTTCCCGTTTTTTTCTATTGATGATTCATAAACTACAAACAGATGCTATCAATAGAAAAATTTCTATTTATCCTAACACGTTGTGTGTTGCAGATATGCTTACGATACTAATGAGTAATCTGCACATTCCATCTACCTTAACTACTCTTACGTAGTTTTTCTATAAGTCTCCGGTCAAACACAGCGCATTCAAGATTGCCGTTAATCTTATAAATTATAGAAAAGAGCCACAAAATATACATGGAACGCTATATATGAAGTCAAAGAAAAAGTTCATGAAATATATGACTCACTTTTCATTGTTCATCTCAAACGAAAATTCGATCTTTTAACTATTTTCCTGTGGGGCTGTGTGACACCCAAATGCCCAGCTTCTTTCTGTTTCCGATCTTACGCAAGTGGTTTTTCAGGACAAATGCATTGCCCATGTGGTAGTCCTCCTTAACCTTTTGGCGAGTTCGGTGTATGCTTGGCATTGTAATTTGAAAGTAAAAAAAATGAACTTTTTGGCCATTGATTTTGAGAAAGCAAGTTGCGAACCGCTATCGCCTTCATCGAAGTGATATTGTGAAATAGAACGAATTTTGTAAAAAATTATGCTAATTTTTTGCTAAAATTTTTCTAACACTACAAAAACAGCACAATGTGTATTTTTAATTATCTACGGAATCTCATCTTTCTATCACTCTACGCCCTTTCATTGACGTATCCCCGGATATATATGATTCCAACAAAAATATAATATTACTTTTCCTTGCAGATTATGGTGTTTTGTATGCTTGCCATATTGCTACGAACGGTGCGTGAATATCAGACATCATTGCGCAAATTGTGGCAAAATTTTGGGCACCTATTGCAACGCATTATAAATGTCTTACGATGCACCGTATTTGATAAAGTAGAAGGATGTACCGACCGTTTCAAGAAAGGTTTCAGTACCAATCAACCGTTTCTTAAACAGATGTTCAACCACTGTAGTGTGGTCTCTCTTTAAGCTTGCTAATTCTTTTTTTAACGAAATAAAGTTCATCTTAACTGACTTGATTTGCAGGCATATCATTTTGAAATATAACATAAATGTACTCTTTTGATGTGAAAAGGAAAAGTTTGTCAAAGAACCTGATGTTTATAGCCACGTCATGAAATTCCTCAGAGTTTGTACAATGATTTTAAGTATTTAAGATCTCAAGTACGCAAGTACGTAAGATAATGCAATAAGCGCGTTCTACTTTCTATGAAAAAATGTATAAGTTTATATAAATTTAAAGTAATAAAAAAAAACATTTTCTGTTCGTCACAATAGGTCCATCCGCTTACAGTAAAGTTGCGCACGTACCTAATCCAGTTCTTTTTAGAGACTTCCCGTTTTCCTTTGAGTGATAATCGTGTAACTTTACACATACGGAAAAATTAGACGTACCTGTTGTTAAATAAAGTACAGGACCTTTTAAAACTCCCAGTCGTCCGAACAAAAACGGTAAGAAGATATAAATTTTGATCTACAATATAGTCTTATTGTAAGTGTGTTCAATCCTGCTCTGAGTCGATATGAAAACGTATATTCTCGTAGATAAATTAAAATACGATTCATTTCTAAGTTCTGTTCCTATATATTTTTGGTGCTGTCTACTTGCCTGTTGTGGACTCTGCTTGAGGTCTGACGAATCGTTATTTCGTAATCTTGGACCAAATCCTTTTGATGTGGCCCACTTCGCTTGATTTCTGACTAGTGAGTGATTGTACATTGTTTTACTATGGTGATCAGGAGCAATGCCCTTCCATATCTTATGCAGTCTGCGTAGAGTAGCTTATTTTCCTGAGAACTTATTTGAATACATTTGAATCGTTTTGAAACCAATTATGTGGCGATGCTTCTCATTTTCAAAATATATTAGAATAGATTTGAAATATACATTTCCATTTCGTAATCCATCTCTTTGAGTCTCATTTCTTCGACGATTTTTTAGATGAAAACATTTAATTTTCCTTCAAAAGCTAAAATAAAGATGGTTCAAGATTTTCGTACAAACACAAATCCATACAAGTTGTTCCTCAGTTTACGGGTAAAAGATTGTGCCGATTCATCCCGTAAAATGCTGAATTCTACGCACTATATATGGTTTTTGCTCGATTTCGTTTCGCAGAAGCTCATAAAAAGCGCAAAGCAAAGGAAAATATACGGACCATTTTAGAGTAGCGTGACTCTTAAAGTCTTCGTAACGCTAATCATTTCGAATCATACTACAGCGCGTATAAAAAGGTGACAGTTCGTAGATAAGTGATAAAAAAAAAAAAGCGTTATGATAATTGTTCAGTTCAATTGAAAAATTAAAAAATTCTAAAAAAATTGGCTATATTTTTCAATATCACTTCAAGGAGATCGCGCTTCGCAGACTTGTGAAAAAGTTGAAAGGGAATTGTGCATCATGAGTTACTGACCAGATAATGCATCCCACTCGCGGCTATCGACAACTAAAACGATTAAAGCGCGTAATTGAGCTGGCGCGCCGATAATTGGTCAACAGGAAAAATTTTTTTTCACAATAAATCCAGGCCACGTACATTTTTCATGCCTTTAGAAAGCTTAAATGGTAAATTCTGAAGCAATGAATTCTTGAATTAAAGCGAGTTGACATCTGGTAAGTGAGATTAATGATTTTAGTTAAAAAAAGAAAAGAAAAGAAAAATTGAGTTGTAATTATGCCATCAAATAGCTGCAATGGTGAAATAGTCAATAAGTTTTTTTCAAATGCATCTTTCAGTGTCTAACTTATCGATTGTGCGTTCCGTAATTAATGATGTGGAAGCCGCCAAATTAATTTACTCATTGCCCAAGAAACAAATATTACTGCCGGTAGCCTAAAAAAATTTCACTCTTATCTCTGTAAGTCGCAATAATTTTCTTTACTTTACGGCTAATAAAAGTTGTTGATAAATATATATGCAACATGTTTTCCTATAAGTTAAACTTGTTGCCGAAGCAAAGTGGAGCAGATCAGGCTGTTTTCGCGTTCATCGACCGTGGCAATTACAGACAAACATAGACGGATCCGCGCATGGTCCGATTGGCAGGTGGGCCAATGGGCATATAGACGGATGGACACACAGTCAGAAGGACCGAGGGATAGACGAACGACGGAAGTGTGGACAAGCACACACATGGGTCGTACGCAGTGACTGCAAGAAGCGGCGTACGCATAAGCGGAATTAATTAAACTGACTTCAAGTCTCACCATGATTAAAAATGCACATGTCTTGTAAAGATCACTCTGCCCTGAATTTCCTATTATTATAAGCAAAAAAAGAACTTTGTCATACCCGCAACTCTCGACATTAATTGGATGGACATGCAAACATATGTTTCTCTAATATTTTTCGCAAAAATTCAAATAATCTCATGCAAACTCAAAAGCACTAAAAACTCTCCAAAACAAGCAAAACTAAAAAAGTACACTAGAGCTTAACTTAAAGCTTAAGTCGAGCTAAATAAAATAAAACGAAACCGCTTTAAAAAACTTGTAAAACTTCGGCTTTATTAGTAAATTGAGTTAGTTGGAAGGCATACATAAATGACCGTAAGCACGCATAAGCAAGTTATGGTTTGTAAAAAAAAAAAAAAATTTTTATTGTGATTGCGAAAGCATAGTTTTGTCATTCTCGGTTTCGTAGTAGTTTCACCAATAATTTTCTTTCCAATTCGATGAAATATTAACGTTAGGCGAAGAGAATAATGGATCGTAAACATGCTATGCTTTATCCAGATTCGAGTACCATACCTGTGGATGAAAGGCGTTCCGCATCGGCATCCATAGGCTTGCCAACGGAAGCACCGCCCTCCTATGATGTCGCCATAGGGACAATTGAGCGTAATAACACACCAGAAACTGGTTGTTTATCACCTGTCTTTAAAAGTGATGAAGAACAATCATCAACGCAGGAAAATTCTTTACAGATTAGAGACACACAGCCGAATACTAATAATACTAGAAACGCAGGCACTTCTTATCAATCGGAAGCATCAACGGCGACAACAGGTAAGTTTCGATATTGCTTTAAACTATTTATAGAACTTATTCTTGAACTTGTCTTAATTAAAAAAAAAAAAAAGGTTTTTGAGTATATACTAATATGCTATTAAACCAACACTGGTTTTAGAAAAATTCAAAGCTTTCTGTATGAAATATTTTTTATGTGCGTTAATAATATTTTTCTATTATTTCACTTAACAATAATGACTAGAACAAACATCGATTGCAACGCCGTCGCCACAGGCGACGTTAAAACTTGGCCCCGATCCTTCAAATGTTAATTGTCCAACATGTGGTGTTTCTAAGATCTCCCGGATGACTCATACACCCAACTCTCGTACCCACATCAGCGCTTTGATTTTGTGTTTGATAGGGTAAAAAAAAAAGTTTTGACTGCTTATGCCTATCGATCAACCAGTGTAATGAGAAATTTATTTTCATTTTCAGTTGGTGCTGTTGTGCTTGCATTGTTCCATATTTTATGAATAGCTGTCGCACCGGTAATCATTACTGCGGTAATTGTAATGCTTTCCTCGGTACATATACTCCCGAAACAGAAAGCAAAACAAAAAGGGGAAGAAGAAGAAGAAGGAGAAGAAGATAGTTACTCGAAAGCACAGCAAAACGAATGATAACAATAACAGCGGCTTTTATGTATTTATCTTTCGTGTTATACGAACAAATATTTATTATCTTAGTCTTCAAATTTAAATCATTTTTTATCAAGTTTTATGTTTGGAATAAGAAGGAAACATAATTTATATATCTTATCTTAGAAGAACTGCATTAAAATGTCTCGAGTGTTATTCATAGCGTTAAATAAATGTGTTTTGTTATAGAATTTTTTAAATATTTTAAAGCAATTCACATAGTATGTACAGTGGCGAGTAAGATTGGTCGTGACCGAATCTTTTATACCCATCACAACTCTTCTAAAAAAAACAAGGTGAACGAATAAATTTTTTAATCTCCCCAATATGGAAAGCTGCGGTTTATTTTTTCAAAACTAAAAGCTTTTTTCATATAAGCATGTGGGCGTTGTAGCCGTGCCCTTGAAATTTTTAAATCACTTCGGAATTCTTTTGCAAATTTGTAGGCGATACCTTCACTTTTGCTAACGGGAGAATGTTTACCATAAATGTTACAAAACTGTGTAGACAGAGATAGGACACACGAACAGACGGACATATTTGGGTGCTTTCCAAATTTATAACTGTTTAAGAATTTAGATACTTTATGACGTTTTTAAAGCTTGTTCCTGAACATTATAAAGGTATTAAAAAAAAATTAAATTTTTATACACTACAATATTGGACAGTCGTAGGGAAGTTTTTCCATTTTTGTACAGGTACCAGAGTATCGCTCATAGAATACGTGTTCAAATTTTTTAACATTTGCTGGCCATAGTTTATGGTAATGAGCAAAAAACCAATTTTTAATTCCTTTTAAAAACACGGGTCCTCTGAGTTTACCTGGTGCTGTGAGCGTATTCTTCTAACGATTTGGCCAATTTTCATTGCTAACCTGCATGCAAAAACTTCCAATGTTCCTGTCAAATTTGCAATCGGTAGCTTCAGTTTTGAGGCCAGGTTTACAGCAGACGTTGCGCAGAAGAACTGACACATAGACGGACGTGCTTAAATTGATTTACCATCTGATGCTAATCAAGAATATACTTTGTGCGGTTTTTGATACTTGTTTCTGGGGATTACAAACGTTTTGACAAAATGAATATACCCCTAAAAATATTATAGGTCACGTCGCACTGTCAAATGCCCCACACTATTACGCCTATGCAGTTAACTGGGTATGACAAGTATACACATCTTATGCTGTCCATCCGTCCTTTTTGGATTTCCACACAAAATTTTATTCTTATGAGTATTTTATAATATTATATATTTTAAATATATTTTAAATAATTTTTTCATTTTGTCAAGTCGTTTAGTTACAACCTAATTTCGTTTGGTTGATGAGTATACTCATCAACGCTAAAGAGGTCGACGCAGTTAACAGTTAGTGCAGTAAAGTTACTCATATGATGACTTTTCAAAACAAGGCGTTATATGTGAGCTAAAATATCCCGACCTAAGCTATGTGCGTCTTTTGGCCAAATGTGCCAAATTTGACCAAAAAAAATCACAAAAGTTGTGGCCTGAACACAGGTTGAAAACAGAAAATCAAGACAGACAGACGGATCCATACCGAAAGTTTTTCTAAATGGTTCGGCACAATCAATCAGCTAATTTTGGATCATTTGTGCTGTATACATCCGCATAGATATAACAAATTAATAAGTTGCAGTCGTGCAAATCCGATTATTATACATAAACTGATAGAACTCTTCACCGATCTTCGATACCAAATATGACCACTTATGTCTTGTTGCCGTAATGAGTTTTAGTCTTCATTAAAACTCTTTTAAGTGAGAAGCTCCAAACGCAATGTACATTGTGTACAAGGAATATATATATTACATCCCTGCTCTGGGCACAGTTTTCCAGCGTAACGTCACTCCGCTTGTCCACGAAACATCAACAACATCGACCTGAAACGTTCTATATAAAATAAGAAAAATATTTAAATCATGTACAGAGAGGCAAGAGTCTCGACTAGCAACTCAATGTTCGTGGGTTCAAATCTCAAGTACGGTAGTGTTTTTAATAAAGCCGAAGGCCTTAGATGCTAGTGCTTTAAGACTTTAGCGTTAGATATTATTCTTCGGCTAAATTTATAATAATAATAATAATAATTCAGCTTTAGTAGACAAAAACACTATAACAGCCTAAAATAAAGCGTTTATTTGACATTTTGAGGATGGCAAAAAAGATGATAGTATGTTTATTTTTAAAAATTAATAAAAGAATGGCATCACTGCAGCCTTTCTCTCAAGGCGTCTTTAAGCGAAATGGTGGAAATTTGAATCTAAAAAGGAAAATCCATTTAACCTACATAGAAATTTAGGTAGAAATTTCAATCCTTACCTCCTATTATAGTTGTAACTAGCTTAACGTGTTACAGACTATCAACATTCCAACGTTATAATGGTTCAGTTTACGGTTTCGCTTTGGTTGGCAGTCTATTAGAACACTACTAAATCCGAAGTACAATCTAATACGAGATTGATTTGGTGGACATTTTATTCACCAAGACCCGTGACAACTACCAACTAATTAGTATGTAGTCTAGGAAATAGTTTAACATTGAAACTTTTATTAAAAAAAAAATATTAAGTCAATTGCAAAACAAGTGAGAAATTATATTCCATCATAATTGAATCTTTCATGCCCATCACCGTTATCCTAAAAATGGTAAAAAATGTGAAAAAAACAAAATATTTATGGAGTGGGCGCACTTGATTTTTTCTGTTTTCAAAATAAAAATTTTTGTCGCATAGGCATGTGGGCGTTGTAGACGTGTAGAGCATGGCTAAAATCGATGGCACAATGAACTTTCAAATCTTGAAAGTTTTGTAGAGCAGTATTGTAACCATAGCGCAGCTCGGCGCAAAGACCTGCCCAGGCGCATTACGATCATGATGGACAGTAATAAAAAAATTCTTGGCAAGCAAACAATCGTGTAACACTTAAAATTTGCATAGGCAACTAATACAACCATAGAAATTTTAATTTTAATATTCATCTCTAGTGAGGGAAGGAACGGAAGGGTGAAATAAATTCTAGAATGCAAAGGGAATGCTCCATCTTTGGGATTGATTGTTCTCAATAGAGCGCATTACAAAAACGTTGTTTTCTAACATTGGTCTATGGGATTTCCTTCAGATGTCCGATTTTTTTTTCAAACCCGAAAATTGGTTTTTTAAAAACATTCCAAAATTGCAGAGGATTTTCGAATAAGTAATTTAGATGGTTTTTCAAATTCTTTTCATCGTTTGATTTCTTCCCCGCCCAACCTTGCAACGATATCGCAATCGCTGTACAATAATTTCAAAAATTTTGTTAAATAAAAATTGAAAACAAAGGAAAAAATAAAATAAATAAATAAAATTTATGGGGAAATGAATCCAAACTATAATTATAAAATCCCAATGAATATTTATTTAATTTAATTTTTTATATACTAATATTTACTTAACTTTAAATCTCAATTTAGGTATAAAACGTGAACAAAAAATCATTTGCTGTTGGATGAAATAAATCATGTTATTTCACAAAAAGATCGGACGCAATTATTGCACAAAGGCTAGGCGGGGGACGCATAGTTCATAGTAGTTTGCATAATCATAAGATGGGGGCGGAAAGCCTAACATGAGTAAATTACAATTATAGCCTTATAGAATTATTTATGTCATCCTAATAGTAATGAATGAATAAAAACCAAAAATTTCAATATTTTAAAAATTTTATTTATTTGAATTTTTATTTCATTTTGTTTATACATTTCGAAAAAAAAAAACGAATCTTTTTTTTATTCTTTTCACTAATACTAACTCTTTGTTCATTCTTTATCTTCCTTTTCCTCAAAAAAGATATCAAATTTAATTTGGCCACTTTCAGCAGCACTAAGGCAGAAGACGAACTGGCACAGGATTTTTTTTATGGGGTATTATTGGGAATTCTTTGTTTCTACCAATTTCGAATAATTTCATGATTACAAAATTAAAGTAGGCCCACATATAATTACAACTTACTTGGGCATATTTTTTTTTTTGTTGGTATGTTGAATGGAGATGGACTAAGCCAATAGATTTGTGGCTTATATGTCCAGATAATAAACTGTCGTAATTTTTAGTCACAATTATGTACAAAACGTAACAAAAAAAAGAGCGGCCGCAATAACTGGAGCCAGCTTGTTAAGTATAATTGTGTATGTGTGTGTAATTGTGCTTGTTGAGTTCTTGAAAGTTAAACAGTTTTACAAACTTTGGCTGAAAACGTAAAGGAATGCTATGGTAATAGAAGATGATTAAACGCAAAAACGAAAGAAAAAAGGAAAGAAGAGGAAAAAAAGAACTTCTAAAAGAATAAATTAGCTTTTCTAATAAAGCAAGTTAGTTCCCCGAGATGACGCACATTTTTTCCTGCAAAGAGATCGAGGAGACAGCCATATAACTTGAAGAAGCTAAAGGAATCTCTAATGCCATCAAGCCTGTGACATCTGAAGATTAGATGCTCAGCAGACTCAACAACATTGCAAACTTCACAAACATCACATGGTATAGCGCGAATCATTTTTAAATAAACTTTGCCATAAGTATGACCACTCATGAGTCTATAAAGGATTTTGATTTCCCAGGAATTAAAAGAAGATACAGAAAAGGGTTTGAATTGAAATGTGGGATTTCATTTATAGAAAAGACGATTGGATTTAACGTGCGCGATTTCTTTAAATTCGTCGTTTACCTGTTGAAGGATGTGGTTGCGAATTGCCCGAATTACTTCATTGGGAGTGTATTTGATGGACAAAATTGTCCCATCAACACGAGCTCTCCCTGCACGAAAGTCGGCTTGTACATTTAAAAAAAAGCCGCAGTGGCCAGGTACCCAAACGAGGTTACAGTCATCCACTTGAGATTCGTGCAACGTCTTGTGAATATCAAACACATATTGATTTTCTGCATCTCTTTTATTTATTAGAAGTAGAGCTGACCTGCTGTCGGAAAAAATAACAAAACGTCAGATACCATCGGAAATAGCAACCTTAATAGCATGTCGAATGGCGAGCAACTCAATAAAAGCCGAGGAAAGTTCCTCTTCCACTTTGACTCGATGTACTGTTTCAGATAGATGTTTCACGACCGAGAAGCCAGATACATTATATCGAACGGAACCTTCGGTGGCATATATGTCGTAGCCGTTGTTGTAATAAAAAAGGAACTTTTCTTGGCATAACAACCTCATACAAGGAAAGTTGACATTTTGTTTTGAGGTAGAGATCGATTCGAGAATGTTTATGAAGACTCTGCATTTGCTGGTAACGAAATTCAAGGGAGGAATTGAATCTAACTTATCAAAAATATGACGAAGTTTTTGATAGCAAAAAGTATAGCTGCAAGTGACAGTATCACTGAGAGATATAATTTCCTTAAAAAAGGAAGGATTTATCATCGTGACTTTAATTAACACTTTGGCAGTGCAAAAAAGGGCTCTTTCGGAAACCGGCAATTCACCAGATATGACATTGAGAATATGTTGAGAAGTTGAGGGGGTCAGTCCAGTACAACGCTTCAACATTCGGTTTTCAAATGCTTGTATACGTTTCTCAATACATTTTGGGAAATTGCAACATGTGGAATGTCCAAATTCAATTTTGGACCTGACTAGAGATTTGTAAACGGTCAAAGAATTTTTGGGAGGCAAGCCTACCTGATTGCTTGTCATGCGTTTGATGATGTTGCATCCAGACTGACAATCTTTGAACGCCTTTTCATAATGCTCACGAAGGGTTAAGCTGTCGTTTAAAATTCTTCCAAGAAATGGAAGAGATTTTACCTGATTAAGAAGTCTGATTTCACGTTTAGAACCTTTGGCAAAATAAATAGTGTTTGTCTTGCTGGGGTTCAAATATAAATTATTATTATTATTATTATTATTATTAATTTCGCCCGAGAAATAAATTCTAAGACTAAACTCTTAAAAGCACTAGCATCTAAGGCTATCGGCTTAAAAAAAAATATAAATTAAGATCAGCGCATGCATCGAAAAACAAGTTCGCTTTCATTGAGAGGTTATTGACAGCTGCTGAAAAAGATGAGTCCGCAGATACAATTAGAAAATCATCTTCATATTGAAAAATATGAGTTTTATCATCTTGAAGATCATGCAAAGAAGCTGCGTATAAATTGAAGAGTATGGGGCTTAAACAGCTGCATTGTGGGATACCACCACATATTTCAACTTTTTCGGTACCCATCACCAACACACGTTTGGATAAAAAATTAAGTATCCACAGTCGCATTTGAAGAGGAATCGAAAAGTTTAAGAGAATTCTACCAAACTTAATCAAGTTGACACAGTCATAGACTTTGCTGATGTCCAAGTAGAGCATGACAACCATTTTCCCTGCTTTTTTTAAGCTGGCTATGAGAAAACACAGTTCTTTTAACCCACATATTCGTAGATTTGCGTTTTTGATAGGCGTAGGACCGAGCTGGAATAATGTTCTTAGTTTTCAGAGATATCAGTGAAATTGGTCTGAAGCTACTTAAATCATTTAAGTCTTTACCTGGCTTGGGAATGGGAACTATTTTGATGCAACGCAAATCAGAGGGTATAAAGTTGGTGAACCAGCAGTTGTTAATTGCATGCAAAAGAATACTAAAGCTTCCTCCAGACAGTGCTCTGAGCATGTCATACTTGACTCCATCACAACCTGCAGCAGTAGCTCTCTTTCTGGAATGTAAAACATAAATTAGCTCATGCAATGAAAAGGGTGTGTTACTGAGACTACTAAAAGGAATTGAAGGCATTGCAATCGGATTGACAATTGGAATGTAGCTCTTGAGCAAGTATTTTTTATTGTCATGGTCATTCCGTACAGCACAACCGCTTAATTTTCGGCTAGAATGTCGATGAGCACTTACTTGGACATATCTAATAAATGATCTCAGTCAACACCACGATAGGTGAACTTCTTCTCAACAACTTCTTCCTTTTGCTAAACAGAAACAAAAGCATATTTGAAATAATTTCATTATTTAAAGGCAAATTTGCTTAATGATTTCATTGGCGATTACAAAATCGTTCATATTTTAACCTTTTATTATTATTTCTTATAAAAGTTCGCAGATGTATTTATATAAAATAGATCTTTGTGCAAGCGTTTTATCCCTGTGTACGAAATGTACGAAAAGGTAAAGAACGAGCAGACATAGCAAATGTTGCCATACATATTTTTCACAATTACCAATGTTTACGCCATGTAGTAGTTGCCACAGGCATACCTCCATACATTGATATCGTAAAGACGCATCACATTTTCGTTTAACGCTCTTTTTCAACTTTCTATATATATATTAGTTTGGGGAAAAAGAAATCCATTATTTTTATATGAACTTCAGGACTTTATTTAACATGCTTCGGATTGTCCGATTTGGGTCAAATATGCACCGTTTTGTTGTATGATTTGTTGCCATTTTAAAGGTAACTTCAAAATGCCTCTCTCATAGAAGTCCTGGTCTCTATTTACAAAAAACTCTAGTAGTCGATTTTCACAATCCTCCCTAGATTCCAATTTTTTATCATTAAAGAAATTTTGCATGCAAGAAAAAGATGATAATCGCTTGGTGCCAAGTCCGGACTGTATGGCGGATGCATTAAAACTTCCCAACCAAGCTCCCGAAGTTTCTGGCGAGTCACTGTAGATGTGTGTGGCCTAGCGTTGTCCTGTTGTAACACGACACCTCTCCTGTTGGCCAATTCTGGCCGTTTCTGGTCAATTGCTATCTTCAAACGGTCCAGTTGTTGACAGTAGAGATCAGAATTTAGCGTTTGGCCATATGGAAGCAACTCATAATAAATAATCCCCTTCCAGTCCCACCAAATGCATAGTAAAACCTTCCTGACCGTTTGAGGTGCTTCACCGCTCTTTGACCACGATCGTTTTCTCACAGGGTTATCGTATGTAATCCATTTCTCATCTCCAGTCACCATCCGTTTAAGAAATGGGTCTATCTCATTCCGTTTGGCCAAGGCTTCGCAGATGGAAATTCGATCCATCATGTTTTTTTCTGTTAATTGGTGTGGCACCCAAACATCGAGCTTCTTTTTGAATCCAGCTTTGTGTAAATGGTTTAAAACTGTTTTATGGTCGATTTTTAGCTCCTGGGCGATGTTACGACTGCTAACATGCCGGTCAACTTCGATCATTTCTCCGATTTTATCGACATTTTCCTTATTGACCGGCCTACCTGTGCGAGGTGCATCTTTAACATCAAAAATTCCTGAACGGAATCTACGAAACCAAAATTGCACATAAGTGGCTGTTACAGTATCGGAACCATAAACACCATTCACAATTTTAACCGCCTGGCTTGCATTTTCGCCTTTGTCAAAGAAAAACTGTAAAATGTACCGAATTTTCTCTTTGTTCACTTCCATTTTTAACACGCTGTAACTCACAACTAAATGCACCAAACAAAAAACAGCAACAGAATTTTTTTTACTGCGAAATGTCACCTTTCCAACGAGCATAAATCTGAAATTGTTTGATCGATTTTTTACGAGAAATCTATCAGTGCAGCCACCTACCGAAAAAATAATGGATTTCTTTTTCTTCAAGCTAATATATAGTTCTTCTATATACAGTAAAAGTTCCTTATTCGCAGTTTCACTATACGTGGATGAAAAAAATGCGACTCAATTCCCATATTCGCGGCTTTAAATTTCTTTATTCGCGGACTTTTTGTGATTGGTTCCGGAATTGTTTTGTTTCTGAAGTTGAAATTTATTTAAAAAAACAGAATTTAGACTTTAAAGCACTTCTAGTTTTGGACAATGCACCAGGTCGTAATCGCCACCTTGAAACTATGCATCCAAACATAAAAGTGACATTTTTACCTCCCAACACGACGGCTTTGCTTCAACCTATTGGCCACGGAATAATCCAGTTCTTTAAGCTCTATTACATTAGACGAACTTTCAAAATCATATTGGATAATATGGAATGTAATCCTGATATGAATGTTATTGAATGCAGGAAGAAATTTGACGTAGCAAATTGCATCGTAAACATAAAGGAATCATTGGAACAACTGAAGCCACACACATTGAAGTCATGCTGGAAAAAACTGTGGCCTGCTTTGATTGCGGAAAATAACGAAGAATCTGTGCAAGCTCAAACTTTGACTGCAAACATAGCTGAAATCGCGAATGGAATAGGAAGAGATGGGTTCGAACAGATAGAATCAAGTGACATTTAGGAATTGCTTGAATCGCAAGATGAAGATTTGACTGAAAGCGACTTGGAGGAAATGTTAACTTCACAGCCCATTAAAGAAGAGGCTTCAACAAGCACTGGAAACGTGACATTTAATTTGAAAAGTGTTAGTGAAGGTGTAAGAATGGCTAATGAGCTTGGCGATTTCTTCATGAACATTGATCCGTCTGTGGAACAAAGTCTTATTTTTAAGAAGCAAATTGCTAATGCGACTGCTGCGTATCAGTTTGAATTGAAGGAGCTTTTAAAAACTGCCAAGCAAGAGAAACCTACAAAATGCTTTAAACCATTGCCTAAGCCTTAACATAATTAATGAAAATGTTCAAAATCTTCAATTAAATTGATTTTTTTATATATTTGTTTTTTTTTTTCAAGTTGTCACTTAGGAACGTATCCCCCTATAATCCCATATAAATTACAATTCTGTATTCACGGTTTCTTTTTTTATTTTGTCACCTAGGAACGTATCCCCTATATAAATTACCATTCCGTTTTCACGGTTTCTATATTCGCGGCATTTTTATGGAACGTATCCCCCGAGAATAAGGAACTTATACTGTATATATATTTCTATTCAAAAGCTTAATTGAACTTCTCCCAAGATTTATGCACAAGAAAGCTGTTGACTCAAATATCGTTTATACTCTATTCGCTTTATATCTGCACCACTTGCGATACGAGTATATAATTAATAAACTTATGTGAAAGTATGTAACATAAGAAAGTAGTTTGCAGAAAATTTGCTTTTTATGCTTTATTGAAATTAGTGCAAATTCTTGCGCGAATGTTGCCACTAAAGTAAAAAAGTTAAATAAACATTCATTCATTTTTTTTTTTTGCCAGTTCTCTTGTATTATCTTGATCGTATCATATAATAATTCCTTTGTAAAGCTGACAACTTTCGATATTGGTGCTATAAGTCTTGTTTTTGATTTTTTTTTCGACTAAATTAATTTATGAAAGGTGAATTATTATTTCAGTTATTTGTGACACACCCAAGGAGTGTGACGATAAACAATTCCAGAGTGTAATGAGCCGTCTACTTCGAGACTACCCGGACTGGCCGGAAAAGTAAGCGAAAAGCATGCACCTTCCTGTGTCCGCGGAAAAGGTGCGAACCGTTCTGAAAATTGTCAGGCAGCATCTACAACGGCTCGAAAAAGGGCTCTCTCGGAGGACGGTTTATTTCGCATACTATTATAATGTAGGGTTTCAATAATTTCGGTCGACATACAGTTTTGCATTAGAATTGAGAAGAGGAGAGCATTGCCAAAATAAAATGTAAATAGTCCTACCTTAAACAAATTGATTGTAAATAAAAAATTGGCTCGGCAACTCTGCATGAAACAAGACGCTTTCTTGCAGAAAATTCTTGAAAAATAAATTTTTTTTTTCAACAAAAAAGAAAAAATTCTTTTTTCTTTCACAAACTTTTGTTTCTGAAAACTCTTGAAGTAGTGAAAATATGTATAGTGAAGTTGCGGCATTTAAACAAAATCAGCAAAGGCTTCGACGTCCTTGTGCATCTCCGCAGATTGCGCAGCACCACCTGCTGTCTTCAACCTCATCCTGACAAGACTCACTCGTTATGGTGATGACACGACCGGTTAGTGCTACGTATTCATTGAAGTATGTAACAATAACCTAGAGAAACCTTTTCGCCTTAACTCAGATTTATTTTTTTTCGAACACATCAAAGATCTCAAATTGGATGGTTTGATAAATATCAAAACCATCAGCAATGGCAAAGCCAAACTTGGTTTTGCTACTGCGGTTGATGCCAACAACTTCATAATAAACAATGATTTTGGTCCAAAGTCTTGCAAGGCCTACATCCCTAGAATTTTCACAGAAAAATTTGGGATCGTAAAAAACATTCCACCTTCAATTAAGGAAGAGGACTTTCTCAACTCAACTACCTCTGATATTGAAATCATTTCTGTTACAAGAATCCTCAGAAGAGACACTGCAGAGAGAGAAATGTTCATCCCAACACACAGCCTAAAGATTGGTTTCAAGGGTAAACTAATTCCTAAGAGTATAAAATTCAACTATTGCAATATTCCAGTTGACTACTTCATTCCTTCCGTCAGGCTCTGCTATAATTGCGGCCGATTTGGTCACATCGCCAAATTCTGCAAAAGTAAGGAAAGCAGATGCCTGAACTGTGGCAAGTCACCGGCCTGTCCTACGGATTCATGCCTCCCAATCAAATGTCTAGGTCGCGGGTCTCTGGACCACAACGTAACATTTCGAGAGTGTCCAAAAAGAAAGAAAGAGGAAAATTTAAAAAAATTTTAACCATCCAGAACTTATCTTTTAGAGAATACAAAGAGAAATTCTCTAACAGCCCATACAATTTACTTGAAAACTATGACGTAAACTTCCCAGCAATGAAGGACAGCAATGCTCCTAACAATATCAGAAACCCTACTATTGATACAAATAATATTTTAATTAACAAAAACTTCAATGCAGTTTTCAAAAATAAAACAAGTATTCCCAAGTCCTTGCATAGAGTGTTTCTCAAGACGCCCTCGACTTACAGTAACAAGTCGCAGGAGCCTAAAAAACCTACCCCACCTCCTGAAAAGCATACTTTCATCAATTACCATAAATCCACTGAAATGGAGATAATTCTGGAAAAGATTTTCAGGATTCTCTCCATCTCTTCTCAAGAAGATATGCTTAAAACCATCCAAACAGAAATAAGTTCCCTTAAATCAAAATTTGATCTTTTAAAACAAGGTACATCTGGGTCGGCCCTATCATGTTCTAACATTTCTTATGACGTCCTTCCTACAGTATAACATACAAAGCTTCAGGCGTAATGCCCATTCTCTTGATTTTTTCATAAATTCCAACCGAACTGATTTCGCCATCTTGAGTGAAATCTTTCTGTCCGATGAAAAAATT